AGTGTGTATATAATTACTGGAGAAAGAGAGAGAGAAAGGGAAAGCAAGAAAGTATCTCCCCACCATGGGGAATGGTCATGCTGCCATCCCTTCTACCTCATTTCTCTGTGCTTTTGGGATTTTGAGTATGTGCACACATGCATCTAATGTGTTTTTTAAGCTTCCTACTCTAGGATTCAAACTGCCACAGTTGCCCACGTGGTATCCAATCATGCCATGGCTGGTCTTAAAAGCTGTTTTAATTGGCACAGAATAATTATACATATTTATGGGGTAGAATGTAATTTTTTTTTAAATATATTTTTGCCATAGGGCACATGTACTCTCCAGAGAGAGACAAAAAGAGGGAAAGTGAGAAATTACTCCCCAGGAGAGATGTCCACATTGTAATCACCTCTCCTCTATTCTCCTCCTGGAATTTTTGGCACACATGCACACGTATCCTGCGTGACTTTCAAGCCACCAGGCCCAGGCCTCTAATTTGGCTGGTCGTGTGGGAGTCCTGCTCCTTAACCACTACACCTGGGCTCCAGTGTTTTTTTTTTTTCAGTACATGAATATAATATGTAATACTCAGAAAGGATCATTAGCATATCTTTTTAAATATTTATCATTACTTTGTATTATGAACATTTAGAATCCTCTCTCCTAGGTATTTTGACATATACAGTAAATTATTGATAACCATAGTTACCATGTTGTGCTATGGAACAATAGAGCTTATTCCTTTCATCTGATTGTAATTTTGTATTTATTAACCAACATCCCCTTTTCTTGCCCCCCCCCCAATTCTCCTCACTTTCTAGTAACTTCTGTCAGGATATACCACTTCTGATTTCCTCTTCTTTTATAGCCAAAGTTCATTTTTTCTGTTTCTCTTTAAGGTACGGATCCCCACATGTCATGACAAGCCTGGGACAACTCAAATAGCACAGTTAACTCAGCAGGTAATGTGGGGCTCTGGTAGGATTATCCAGATATATTTCTGAATATTACTGAAATAACTCATTGAATGATGTTTAGTGAATTGATACATTTTCTTAGTTTTTTTTTTTTCTTGTCATTTCTTCAATAAACAATGTAAAGCTAGAATTCATATATATTATGAGTACAGGAGAAAGTTAGTATTTTTTCCAAAAAGGTTTAATTCTGACAAAACCACTTATTTTGTTTTTTAAAAAGAATTATTTTATTTAATAATTTATAATAATTATTTATAATAATTATTATTTTCCAGTGTGATCAGACAGAGAGAGGGAAAGTGAGAAAGCAAGCCATCAGGTCTAGGACTTGAACCATGGTCAGCCACATGAGAGTCCAGTGCCTTTGTTTTTTGTTGTTGTTGTTATTGTTGTTTTAGCTATAAGGCACGTGCACTCACCAGAAAGATAGAGACAGACAGAGAAACAGAAAGCGAGAAATCACCCCCCAGGGGGGAGGGCCACACTGCAATCCCTTCTCCTCTATTCATCTTGGGAGAGTCCAGCACCTTTAACCACCATGCCACCTGCCAGCCCCAAAACTGCTTATTTTAGAAGAGCAGCCAGGAGACTTCTGATTTTAAGAGATGTAGTCAAAAAGATTCTGTAGTTAAGACTGCCTTAAATTTTTCCAAAAGCAACATCTGGTCATGGGTGGGGTTAAATTTGTACTTGAAATGTCTTAACTGGTGTATAAGCTCTTCCATTTTCCTTTGAACTGAATAAAAACAGAAAGCAGTAAGAAGACTCATTTTACCTGTTCCGTATATGATCTAATATTAATGGTAGTATTATATACACTTGAGAATTAATCTCATATCTGACTACTGGATTGATGCTTTCTCGTGGAGTCTGTGTTCCTCATCTTCTGTTGTGTTAAGACTGTAGTCTCTGGCTGCTCCTGAAGAAAGAGATCTTAAGATAGATAGGGCATCATGGCTTATTGGTCATGAGGTAGACAGACATGAGGAATCTGCAAACTGTTCATGGAAATGCATGTTATAAAAAAACTATGCATGGATTTAAAATTTTTGTACCAAAGAAACTTATACTTTGATTTCATTTTCCATGAATTTTTTTTGAAGAACCTTATATTTTAAAAGTCAGTTTCTGCAAACATTTGGTGATGTTTTTCCTATTACGTTTCTATCTCTTAGGCGGACACACCTATATCTGTTGTTTTGCCTACTGTTCATGAGGTGGATCTTTTCAGGTAAAAAAAAAAAAAATTAATTTTAACTGCCTTTTTCTTCATGTTGTGATGTTGTTGATGTATTTAGAAAATGGATATTCAGGGCCAGCTGGTAGCATGGTGGTTGGGGCAGCTGGATCCTACATGGCAGACAGTGGTTCAAATCCTAGACCCAGTGGTTTGAAAAAGCATAGAAGGGCTTTGCATTCCCAAAATCCCAAGAGGAGACTAAGGGAGAAGGGATTGCAGTGTGGCCATTCTACTGACTGGGAATGAGGAGAGGTGGTACTTTCTCACTTTCCCTCCCTGTCTCTGTCTCTCTTCAGCAAGAGCATGTGGCCTACTGGAAGTATTTTTCTTTTTTTAAAGTTTTTTTTTCTTAGTTTATTAATTTTTAATTTGACCAGAGGAATTTTATTTATTATTATTGTTCTTTAATTTGACTAGAGAGAGAGAGAGTGAGAAAGCAATCTGCCAGGCCTAGGACTTAAACTATGGTCAGCTATATGAGAGTCCAGTGCCTTAACCACTACACCACCTACCAGCCCCTGAAAAAAATTTTTTTAAGTGAATATTCTTACACAGGATGTAGAAAACATTGAAGAAAAATCATTATTATATTTTACATGCTGTAAATAAGTGGTTCATCCCTGACTGCATGTTATTAGCTTTGACAACTAGAAAAATTTGAATATGGATGAGGTATATTACCTGATAAAAAACAATTTTAAAATTATGTATGATATAGTGTAATGATGTAAGAAAATACACTTGTTTAGTTTTGTTTGCCAGAGGTTACATGCACTTGCCAGAGAAAGAGAAAGAGGAAAAAAACACTCCCAGTGGGACGTGGTCACACTGTAATCCCTTCTCTTCCATTTCCCTATACTGTCAGGATTTGGGGCATGCAGACATATACACCTGGCCTGTTTATCAGGCTTCCAGGAGAAAGATTCACACCACATGGTCTGCCATATGGGATCTAACTTATATAACTACCATGTGTTGGGGCCATCTCAAATATACACTTTTTTTAAAAAAAATATTTATCATTGAGACCAGCAGATGTCATAATGGCTACATCACTGGACTCCCATGTAGTCAACCATGATTTGAGCCACAGACCCGGTGGCTTAAACTCAAGCCAGGTACATGTGCGTGTGTTCCTAAGATCCCGAGAGGAGAATGGAGGAGAAGGGGTTGTGTTGTGGCCATCCCTCCTGGGGAGGTGGGGTGATTTCTTGCTTTATGTCTCTCTGTCTTTCTGGCGAGCGCATGTGCCCTATAGCAAAAAACCTCTCCAAAAAATTTTTTTTTAAATTTATTATCATTATTACTTTAATTTGCAACAGGGCATGCTCACTCACCAGAGAGAGACAAGGGGAAAGTAAGAAAGCAAGCTGCCAGCTCTGGGACTTGAACCACAGTTGGCCATGTGGGAGTCCAGTACCTTAATTGCCACACTACCTGCATGGTTTTCTGTTTTTAAGGCATGCCTTTTAAATTATTTGTGGTAAAATGTCACGACATTTGTGTTTTATTTTAAAATACTTAAGGGGCCTGCTAAGAATCCAGTTAATGCTGGATTCGCACATGATCAACTGCTGTTTGAGTCCTGTATCCAGCGGCTTGAAAATCACACCAGGCATGTGTGCGTGTGTGCCCAAAATCCTGAGGGAAGAATGGAGAAGGGGCTGTTGCATAATTTTGAAGCCACCGGGTCTGAGACTCGAACTATGCAGCCAACCATGTGGCTTATAGCACCTTACCCTCCACACTACCTGCTGGCCCTGTTTTCATCATTTTTAAATATCAAAAAGTAATTGCTCTGGGGCCAGCACATGACATGATGGTTAGGTGCTGGGCTCCACATGGTTGACCATGGTTTGAGTTTCAAATCTTGCAGCTTTAAAGTCATGCTAGCTGCATGTGCATGCATGCATATACTCACAGGAGAAGAATGGAGAAAAAGGCATTATGGTGAGGTGATTTCTAACCATCCCTCTCCCTGTCTCTTTCTGGCGAGTGCATGAGCCCTGTAACAAAACCCTAAAAAACAGTATTGGCTTTTACATAAAGTGCATCTAAGAAATGCTCTTTGGAAAAGTGTTTTGGCTTGTTTCCTTCAAAACATTTAGAATATGTGACTCAAGTATGATGATGCACCACCACCCAGGGAGCTGGAGCCAAGTGGGATATCTATGTGTGCTTCCTGAACTGAACTGGACATGCCATCACAGCACATACTCCTACAATTCTAGCTAGCTGGGAAGCTGGAGCAGGAGGATAGGCATGCACCAGACCCTGTCAGAAACAAACAAACAAACAAAACAAACAAAAACAAAAAAAGCCTCAGGTTGTCCCGTGGCCTGGTATTAAGGGAACTAGATCCCACATGGCCAGCTATACCATTCTAATCTCAGCCCCAGCAGCTTGAACAACATGCTGGGCAAATATGCTTGCATGCCCAGAATTCCAACAGAAGGGTTTGCAGCATGACCATACCTCATTGGGGGGTTCCGTCTCCCTTTCTCTCTCTGTTTTCCTGTTTCTCTCTGGTGAGCACATATGTCCTGTCCAAAAAATAATAATAAGTCTCTCTCTCCCCCTCCCTTTTTCTTTTCCTTCCATTAAAAATAATTTTAGAGAACTCCAAGAATAATAAAGCAATATTGATGAAATAGATTTATCATATGGTTTAACAGTTAAATAATGACACACATATTAGTTATTCTGTGTGTCACTATATTGTATTTAATATTGTAAAACTTAGAACAAATCATATTGATATATGTTGGGGCCAGTAGGTAGCCGTTAAGATATGGCCTTGTGGTTTGAGTTCCAGATACTGCAGCTTGACAATCATGCTGGGGGTGCCAGCAGGTGGCGTGGTGGTTAAAGGTGCTGGACTCCCACATGGCTGACCATGGTTTGAGTCCCAGACTTGGTGGCTTGCTTTCCTACTTTCCCTTTCTCTCACTCTGTCCCTCTTTGGTTAAAATAAAGATAAATAAATCAGTAAATAATTTAAATTAAATAATTCTTAAAAAAGAAAAGAAAGAAAGAAAGAAAATCATGCTGGGTGTGTGCTTGTGTGTGTGCGTCTGCATGCCCAAAATCCCAAGAGGGGAATGGATGAAGAGGGACTGCAGCATGACCACAACCCCCTGGAGGGTGATGTCTCACTTTCTTTCTCTCTGGAAAGCACATGCCCCCCATAGCAAAAATCTCTCTCTCTCAAAAAAGAGGGGCACATATGCATCTATGTATCACCATATTCTAAATAAATTTGTGTATCGGATCAAGATATATATTGTAGAGGCCAACAGGTGGCGTGGCGGTTAAGACACTAGCCCATATGGCCAACTCAATGATTTAAATTCCAGACTCAGCAGCTTGAAAAATATGTCTGGGTGCATGAGCATGGGTGCTCAAAATCTAAGAGGAGAATAGAGGGATTGCAGCATGACCATCCCCCTGTGGGAGTGGTTTCTCACTTTCCCTCTCTGTCTCTCCTTTTAGTGAGCACATGTACCCTATGGCACAGAAATGAAAAATTGTAGAAAGTAATTTGTGTCAACATGAAGTTTTTAGAATGATTCTGTAGGAATTGAAGGAACAGGATTGGATAAATAACAAAATATTTCTATTGGACAAAACCCTTTTAGGTGTTTCTGCCCAGTTTTCCTTCACAGTCAGATGCTTTGGGAGCTGGTACTGTTGGGGGAGCCCCTTGTGGTCATGGCACCATCACCATCAGAGTCGTCAGAAACCGTATTGGCACTTGTCAAGTGAGTCTATTTAGTTCCTGATGGTGACATTTATAGCACTTTCCCATCTTCAATATTTTTGTCACGAGTTATTGCATCGATCCATACAATAGCCCTGTCATAAGGTAGTTCTTATTATAATAGTAGTATTTTCTAGGTGAGAGAATTGAACCAGACTAGGAGGCCTGGAACCCTGGTTTCGTTGTTCTGAGTGACCAGCATATTCATTCATTTACATGAAGCTGGCACTTGTTAAACTTAGTTGTGGGAATGGGTCAGTGTTTAAAGTTACGGAGCTAGCGAATGGTAGAGTCAGAATTTCACTCCATTTTCTGTTCCAAGCTTAATGTTCTTTCAGTATGCCATTCTACCTTATATATTTCCATTTGTTTTTCTAGTTCCCTGAAATGAGCTTATTAGTTATTGAAATACATTACCCCACTGGATGTATTTTGTTTCTGTGGGTATTGCATAGTTAGGGAGTAGGGCCTTTAATTTCCATATCCTTTGTTTTACGGGGTCTTCTTACTCCACAGCTGTATTTCTCCATTAAAGTACTTCAGTGATTTCCGACCTTATTTCACTATTCACGATAGTGAATTCAAAGAATATACTACCCGAACTCAAGCTCCGTGAGTAAACAGAATACCTTTTATTGACCAGGTATTACCTTTATAACCAAAATTATGTAGAATTATTTTTGGTAATAAATGTTTAACTTAAATTTCAAATTTATAGGCAGATTAATTTTATAAAAGAAAGTTTGAAGAGCTACTGGTAATAATTCCAGATTTCAAGAGTTAATATCTTATTTTTTTTGAATGATTTTATTTATAATGGAAGCTATTAGATCTCGGAAGGTCATGACATATTTTTGTATGTTTTCCTATGCAAAAATGCAACGTGACTTTCCTGACGACACAATATATTGTTAATAGCCCTTAGACTATCCTTTCAATTCTGTCTTTCCATGTGAAGAAATGTTCCCAGTTTGTAAGAGGGAAACGAAAATCTTATCCTTTGCCTTTTGTTTGCTGCTCTATTTTTCACGTTCTTTTCATAGCTAAGTTTCTAGACTAGCAAAAAAACCTCCCATTTGCTATCTTTACCTCTTGATTTTCTAATTGCTCCTCAGTCAACTGCAGGTTTGTTGAATTTGTTTTAATAAAAATTACGAAGACCCTTTCTCAATGCCTGACCCAAATGCCATGTAATTGCCTTCTCTCTCTCTCTTTTTCTTAAAACCTTTTCTTTCTTGTAACATTTATTCTGTTGACCTTGAAAATATTTTTAATCCTGATGCCACTCCCCCCAGCTGTCTGATGATGCATCTCAATCTCCTTTGTTTTTTTTTTCTCTTCTAATTCCTTAAATGTTGGTGTTCTCCAGTACTGTGTTTTGGGTTGATAGTAGATTGGAAATTATTTCTGTACAATTTTATTTGTACCCATGGCTTCTGTCGACAAAAATATTAATAATTAATGACATTAATAGCTAATTATATTGATGATTGAAACATATCTTCCTGTCCCAGATCTCTGTGAGGTTCCAAAATCTGTATATCCAGACTTTTAGTTTCTTTTTTTAAGTGCATTGATTGCTACTATCTAAACATCTTAATGACATCTGAAACAAAACATGTTCAAACTGAATTATTTTGTTCCCTTTTTTTCCCTCTTGATCTTGTGTTTCTTCCTTTTTTTCATGACTAGCAATAGTTCTGTTTTTTTTGGTTTTTTGTTTGTTTGTTTGTTTTTTTAAGAGAGATTTTTGCTGTAGGGCCTGTGTGCTCACCAGAGAGACAGAAAATGAGAAATCACCACCACCCCCCGTCCCCGGTTGGGGATGGCCATGCCACAGTCCCTTCTCCATTCTCCTCTTGGGATTTTGGGCACACACACACACATGCCTGGCACTTGTAATGTAGCCATTACATCATCTGCTGGTCCCGATAATGGCAATAGTTTTACTTAATTATCAGAATTAATTGTCATAAATCTACAATTCTAAACATGCCCACATCAAACTTTACCAAATTCTGTCAATTCAGCATCCTAAAGTATCTCCCATACGTTTGTTATCTTCCTTTGAGAGCTCCTTTCCCAGTCTTAACTCTCTGCCATCTTTCTCAAATCCACTGTTGCTTTTTCCCCAACACGTCTCCTCCTCTTAGGGTATCTTCCAGGTTTCCCCCATAGTGACCTTTCTGATAAGCACATTTCCGTTCACGTGGCATTCCTCTACCTGGTTCTTTAGTAGCCTCCACTGCCTGTAAGAAGCATCTGAACTTGTTAGTGTACTAATGTGGTACAGAATGATCTGGGCAGCACCTGCCCGTCGACGTTCATTTTGACTATTGATCCTTCCTGCTTTGTGCTCCAGGAATGCTGGCCTGCGTGTAGCTCTACAAGCAGACCACGATCTTGTGCCGTTGCTTTGCACTTTCTGTTTGTTCCCCTGCAGCACGCGTACCCTGATTCACTTGGCAAAAAAACTCCCACTCATCTTTCATGTCTTCATGTAAATGTCATCTCTTTGCCAAGGCTGTTCTTGAGTTCCCTCGTGGACAGGTTCTTTGTAATGATTGTGCATTTTAAATCACCTTCACTGTCCTCTCCTTTCTGGCATTATAATTGGGTTATATGCCCTTCTGCCTTTCCTGTGTGCTGTTGGAAAGAACACGATTTTCATTTTTATATGCCTAGTGACAACCATGGCACCCAGCCTGCAGTTGATATGTCATAATGTGCTAAATAAAGGAGAAGTTGATGTATCGTTCATTCTCTTTGGAGTAAATTACTGTAAACTATTCTTCACTGATTGAGCATTCACCTTTTACTTACATGGTTTTGTTTTGTTTTTACATAGGCCCTCCGTCATATTAGGAGTAACCAACCCTTTCTTTGCTAAAACACTCCAGCACTGGCCACACATTATTCGAATAGGAGACCTTAAACCTGCAGGTAAACTATGTACTTGGTGTTCTCTTTTTAATGTGGAATATGACTGAGCAAGTTTATTTCATTCCCTTTGTTTTTGTTCCTTGATTACTTTTTATGTTGTTGGCAACTTTCTTTGAGGCAAACTAAATAAGGACCTTTGGAGAAATGGTTAACTTTCCACTGAAATATGTAGTTGATGTGTGTAAGCAATTATGTCTTCCTACCGAAAAATGTCCTTATACTGTTAGAAACATTGAGTGAATTATAACAGAATGAAACCTCAGACCTGAGCTGAAGATACACACTTTCACCACCTGGTGGCAAAAAGTGTTCTTTCTGTCTGTCTATCTATCCATCTGTTTATTTTTTGCTGTAGGCACATGCATTTGCTAGAGACAGAGAGAAAGAGAAAAAGCCATACCCCCAGGGGATATGGCCACACTGCAGTCCCTTCTTCTCTCAGGAATTTGGACACTACACACTGCTCCCGGTGTTTGTTTTTTGTTTAAGAAGTTTTTGCCTTAGGGTATGTGTGCTCACTGGAGAGAGAGACAGAGACAGAGACAGTGAGAGGGCAAGTACAAAATCACCCAATGGGGGGGGATGATCATGCTGTAATTCCTTCTCCATCCTAATCCTGGGATCCTAGGCAGGCACACACATGTGCCCAGCATGTGTTTCAAGCCACTGGGTCTAAGACTAGAACTGTGGTCGGCCATGTGGGAGTCTAGCGACATAACCACTACGCCACATGTTGGCTCCCCTGATGTATTATTCATGCTGCCAGGTCCAGAACTTGAACCACACAGTCAGCCGTGTAGCCTTCACACCATCTTCTGGCCTGCATTAAGTGTTATAAAATGCAGATTTTATCAAGTCATTTTACTCTCCATTTACTACTCCCCTTAGGCCCATGCTTTCAATCTCTCAGTTACCTTAAATGTCAGGCATCTTTATTGTTCCTTTTGATCTGACCTTTGAGTCCCTCTCTAGCTTCATCTCCTGCCTGTTTGAGCATACTTTCCATTCCT